GTATCTACAAGCTTCAAGTTTCAAGTAATCAATGTAACGACCCGACCGGTCGTTTTGAGTTCTAGCACGTCGTTCGGCGATTTGAGGCCTCGAGTAGCTTCACTTCATGTTTTTTGACTTGTAAGGTGGTCGAAATTAAATTTCGAGAAGTTCAGAGTGGTTACTGGAAGAAAATTCTAAATTTCGAAGCTTTAAGTTGGAAGAGTTGACTTAAGTTTGACTTTTGAGTAAACGACATCAAAAATGGGATTTGAAGGTTCCAATAGGTTCATATGATAAATTCGGACTTGGGCGTATGTTTGGGTTGAGTATCGGGTGGTTCGGGAGCATTTCGGCGTCTATTATGGAAGGTTGGCATTTTGGAAGTTTAAGAATTTCTTAAGTTTGATTTGAAATGAATTTTGGTGTTATCAATGTCCGTTTGAAGTTTCGAGCCTTGGAATAGGTTCGTATCGCAAATTTTTACTTGCACGCAAAATTTGGCATCCTTCCCGGATGTTTAAGCATAATTTGGGCGCATTCGGAGAAGTGTGAAGGTTGGAAAGTTGAAAGAAAGGTTTTGGCCGTCGAATCGTAATTTTGATGTTGTTTGACGTAATTTGAGCCTTCGACTAAGTTCGTATCATATTTTGGGATGAGTTGGTATGTTTGGATGGGGTCCTGGGTCCTAGGGTTTGAAACGGATTGAACGGATCGAAATTTGAAAATGATGAAATGCTGGTTTTGGCCAATTGCTGGTGCGACCGCACCTGCGGAAAATTGGGCGCGTGTGTGGAGCCGCTGAAGCGGTCTGCTCAACGGAGAAGCCGGAGAGGCGTGCGTGGGGAAGGTTCGCAGAAGCGACCTTTGGACCGCACTTGCGATGGCGCAGGTGCGGCTTCTTGGAGCGCAGAAGCGGAGAGGAGCGCAGAAGCGAGGGAGCTTGTCGCGGGAGCGGGGCCGTTTCCGCAGGTGCGATGGGTGAGCTCCAGTGCTTCTACGCAGAAGCAGAGTTTTGGTCACACAAGCGATGCCAGAGGTGCGGCTACTGTTCCGTAGGTGCCAAAATATCGCTAGGCAGAATTGTTTTTAAGAACGGGATTTGGCTCTTCTTCTTTCATTTTTCACTTGAGTTGGCCGAATTTAGGGAACTATTTTGAGGGGATTTTGATCGGGCAACACGAGTTAAGTGATTCCCACCTATTAAAAGTTAAATATTTGGATTATATATAGATTTTAACATGAAAATTTGTGGAAATTAGTAGAATTTTGAGATTTTGAAGAAAACCTAGAAATTGGTATTTTTGGACTTTTGCCACGAAATTGGACATGGAATTAGGAATAAATTATATATTTGAGTTCATGGTGTTATGGGTAAAGGTTATCTTAAAAAAAATTGGAATCCGAGCACGTGGGCCCGAGGTTGACTTTATTGACTTTTCGAACGGAGTTGAAAATTATTATAAATTGATTAATTATGAGTATTAGAGTATATTTTGATTGTTTTGCACCTTGCTCGACTAGTTTTGGAGCTACGGGCATCGATTTGAGGTCTTAGGGTGGCGTTGGAGCCGGTTATGGAACTTCGGAACGAGGTAAGTCTCTTGTCTAACACTGTGAGGGGAAATTTACCCCGTAGGTGTTATATTCTTATGTGCTACATGTTGTGGGGGCTACGTACGTATGAGGTGACAAGTGTCCGTGCGTATGCTAGAGTTCCTGATTATGTCCGGGTAGACTTAGGTTCACGCCATGCTATAATTGTACTATTTGAGATATCTTTGCTGGTTAAATTTCTTTATTTTGCGTTACGACTTGAGATTAGACTTGCATAGGGCGATAGACCCGCTATTGTAGAGATGTGACGAGCTATTTGATAAACCGTGGAATAATTGTGCTTCCTTTATGAATTTTTCTCGCGTTGTGCGTTTTCATCGAAAAGCTTCTTTAAATTTTATAACTCACACATATATTCGTGAGTGGGGTCAGAGACCCGTTAAAGTATCATATTCTCATGGGAGCGGGCCATTCGCCTCGGCAGTATAATAGATGCATCTATGGTTTGTGTCGTTCGACCCTCGGCAGTGCACACATTATGATGGGATCGGGTCGTGCGCCGCGACATTTCTATAAACACTCTTGTGGATCGGGTCGTTCGCCTCGGTAGCGTCATGTGTAATATTTGATAAGAAATTAGCGTATCCGTGTGTTTTCCTGATTTTGAGTTGTGACGAGCTATTTGATGAGGTCCTTTTCATATATACTCCATTGAGAGGTTGAGTTTATTGTTCAGAGGAGGATTGCACCACGTACCTATATTTATAAATAATGTTTATTACCCTGCCATATATTTGTTTATTTCCTATTGTACTTGATTTATTAGATCACTAGTAAGTGTATGTCGACCCCTCGTCACTGCTTCTCCGGGGTTAGGCTAGATACTTACTGGGTACGTTGATTTACGTACTCATGCTACACTTGCTGCACTTATTGTGCATGTATGTGTATATATATATATATATATATATATATATATATATATATATATATATATATATATATATATATATATATATATATATATGGTAGTGTTTTGGGCGCAAAGGCGTGGCTGTTGCGGAGATTTCATGGTGAGCTGTATTCCATGTTATGATCCGCAACATACAGAGTCTCCATCAGAGTTATTTATGTTCTCCTGTCTAACTTGTATTCCATAAAGATGTTGTATTATTATTGTACTCCTTAGTAGATGCTCTTGCACTTGTGACACCGGGTTTTGGAGGTTTCTACTGGATGTTTAGTATGGTAGTTCACGTAATTATTATCATTTCACCCTGTAAGTTCTATTTAATACTATTTAATTAATGGAAATTATGATTTCAAAAGTAATAAAATGAGTAATTAAGTTGATCAATCACCGTTGGCTTGCCTGACGGCGACGTTAGATGCCATCACGACCTATAGTGGATTTTGGGTCGTGACAGCTTGGTATTAGAGCTCTAGGTTCACTTTGGTCTCACGAGTCATGAGCAAGTCTAGTAGAGTCTTGCGGATCGGTACAGAGACGTTTGTACTTATCTTCGAGAGGCTACAGGGCTGTAGGAGCACTTCCCTTTTTGATTCCTCATCGTGCGATTTGATTCCTTTGAGGCTTATGCCTTTATTTCCTTCCTACTCAATTTTATGCGACGTGGAGCACTTGTTATCAATTGGGAATTGAGGAGTTGTAGTGGTACTGTAGATGTGGTGCAAGATGTTTTTCCCTACGTACTCGAGCGAGTTATTATCGTCGTCTTGTGGAAGGGGGGGTCTATCATTTCATGCATGTATCAGTATTGCCTATGGTTTAGAGGTTATGCACAGATAATTATGATGTTCATGCGTTGTTATCGCACAGTGTTGGTGTAATGGTAGGGTGCTTGTTTATGTGTCGAGGTAGTGAATGACACGAAATGAGGATTTCTCAGTTCATGGTTTATAGGTTCGACATCTAATTCCAGTAGAGGAAAGGAAATTGGACTATGGATGTTCAGGCTTTGGTTGATGGAGTATCGAGACTTGATATTTTCGAGCATGGTAGAAATCTTAATTGTGATATGGTGTCGTCGTCCTTGTTTGAAAGCATTAAGGCTCGCCGGTGTTATGGTCTTTTTTGATTTGCCTTCGGGGCAAGGTGTTGCGAAATGGTGCCTGAGAAGCGGTTGTCAGAGATGGCGATGTGTAGTGGTTTTAGAATCGAATCGGTGTTTCTAATGCTGATAGCTCGAGAAAGATGATCTTCGAAGAGGCTTAGAGTTGGTAGAAATTTATTAGTTCAGGTGCTACAGGATGGACTTTGATTTGAGGCAGCATTCGGGCAGTGAAGGATGAGGATGGACATGGTGGGAGGTATCTTGCGGTGGTTGAATTACTAGCAGGTCAAGTATGAAGAGCCGAGGTCGAAAAGTTACTTAAAGGAGGTGGTTTAATCGAAGTGGGAGTGATAGAGTAGCATATGGATTCTGTGGTAGGATAGTCACGTGCCTTGAGAATCTTTAGAGCGATTTGGAAATCATGGTGGAAAGTGACTAGGTCTACGGATTTTATTTGGGATGGTGGCTACTGTACTGAGGAAGATTAAATATGGCAGAGAGGAGTTTGCTTGAAATGAAGAGGGGTGTGAAAACTTGATTATCGTTTTTGGATGCAACATGACTTCGAGTTTGGAAGGTATTTTCGGACTTTCAGTTGATGTCAATGGGGAATGAACAGACTTGTACACCCGGTGGATGAGCATGGGCTTAGGAGGGTTTACTAATTTCGTAGTAGTTGTACCCAGTGCACCGTAGTTGGAAGATGTTGGTATGGAATTCCACAGTTGGATTATCTCCAGTGAGTAGGTTAGCGGTTGCGTGATTTAGATGAAGTTTCTACGTAGAGTTCTACTTACCACCCGGCAGAAGGTCGAATATGCGATTGCGGCTGATAATTCGGAATGTTCATGAAAAATTTAACAAGGGACTACGAGAAATTTAGCAAGTTGACAATGCGACATCATGGTAATTGAGACGGAGGAATCTTCGTGGGTTCTACATTATGTGATGGTAGCTTAAAGCTAAGTGGGGGAGCCCACCGTCTACGACTGGATCGCGTGGTTATCTGCTTGTGCGGTTTCTGATTATCGGTGCATTGGTGGATTATTTATGAATAAGAAAGAAAACATGAGGGGTAATTCGAGTGAAGAACTTGATGAATGTGTGCTATATTTCGCCTTATCGATCCATGTGCAGGTTTTGGGAAAACTCAGAGTTTATGCTTCTTATGGATGTGAGGTACAAGGAAAAGAATTCATCTGGTTGCTTCTTTGAGAGGTTGTTCATGTGCTAGCAAAACATTGAAGTTGATTATATTCAGGACCATGTCAGAGTGGGTGATTAAATACAAACATGAACATTGCACAAACAAGGCATAAGTGCCAACTAGGAAAGAGAAAAGGACCACTTTATGCCACATAATCACCAGGCTGTCATCTATGTCTCCATTTATCACTTCACCTTAACAAAAGGAGGCACTTTTGCTCACTCAAAACCCTAGCTCAACCCTTTCTTGCCTCCACTTTCCTTTCCATCAGCAAAACCCAATTTTCGCTTCGGTAAGTTTCCTGTTCTTATCATTCCCCCCTTCCTTTCATTTCTTCATTCATTCATTCATTCATTTGTTCTTCTGAATTCATTTTTCTCCATATTCCTTTTTCAGCAGAAATTCTGTAACTGTATTTATAGGCCTGTTTGGTAACTATGTCGGACGACGAGAGAGAAGAGAGAGAATTGGATCTAACCAGTCCTGAGGTCGTCACCAAGTACAAGAGCGCCGCTGAAATCGTTAACAGTTAATCTCCTTAATTTCTCCCTATTTTTTTAATTTAAATTTTTGTTGTACATGCTTTTTGAGATACCCCTTTTGATTTGCCGATTGAAAGTTTAATCGTTTGGGTCATTTGATAGCTGAAAGTCCATTGGTGTTTACTCCCTCTGATTGTCTTAGAACAGCGTTCTAACCATCTAATTTTTGTTGCACAACCCAATATAAATTTCCTTAACTTCTTATTGTGAAATAAAATCTATTATTTAGAAATTTCCTTTATCAAAAGTTTATGTAAATCACATAAAAGTGCAGAAAATCACAATGGTGTAGAATGTTTGTTTAAAGAGTCATTGAAAAACATGAGATGATTTAAATGAAGTAACGTGGACAGTGAGGATTTATATAGCGAAACACACTCTGAACCGTAGTAGTTGTTGTTGTTGTAGTATTTGAAAAGCTGAAGTCAAAGAAAGAGCTACTCCATTCCCCGATTCCTTATAGTGTCATGGTATAAGTACTAAGTTTTGTTATTTTGGTTTTAATTGTGCAGAGGCTTTGCAATTGGTGTTGTCCGAATGCAAGCCAAAAGCAAAGATAGTTGATCTTTGTGAAAAAGGGGATGCCTTTATCAAAGAGTATGCACTTCTTGAGCTTTCTATGCTTTCAGCACATTCAATTTCCTTGTATCTCAGTAATAATGATGGCTCTTTCGCGGTGCAGGCAAACTGGAAATATGTACAAGAATGTGAAGAAGAAAATTGAGAGAGGTGTTGCATTTCCAACGTGTATTTCAGTTAACAACACTGTGTGTCATTTCTCACCATTGTCTAGCGATGAGACAGTACTGGAAGAAGGTGATATATTGAAGATGTAAGTAATAGTTTACATCACTTTAAGTTGATTTCATTGTTTATCATGGCTTTGAGAGCTAGTTTAGGGGAAAAGAAGAATTTCTTTCAGCATGAGCTGCCCTTGAATTCTGGCCTTGAGTGCTGACAGTAGGAACTTTAAGTCATATAAATAAGTTGGATTTTCTCCAGTTCAAATTCTGACTTTAGGGCTTAACTATTCAATAAGCGAAAGAGTTGCTTTAGCACTGGTTGATTGTAATTTGAATGAGTTAACTGTTTGTATGAGTAACATGTAGTTCTTTTTTGTTGCAGTGATATGGGATGTCACATTGATGGATTTATTGCTGTAGTTGGACATACACATGTTCTTCACGAAGGACCAGTTACCGGTAGAGCTGCTGATGTCATTGCAGCTGCTAATACAGCCGCTGAAGTTGCTTTGAGGCTTGTGAGACCAGGAAAGAAGGTAATGGTTATTGGAGCCTGCATGAGTATCAATGGGTTTAATTGTTAGTTGCTGCATTCTGAGTACAACCTCGTCTTAAAGCTTATCATATTAGAGAAGGGTTACTTTATTCATATATTTAGATTCTTAACCATTGATCTACTTGAAAGTATAATTTCTTCTAAGTGTTGCACAGTTCGAAGAGGAGGTACAGACATTTACCCTTTGCCATTGAAAAGGATATCTCAACCTGTAAGATTAATGCCCCAAGATGGTTCCCAGAAGCTGATTTTCATAGTAATCATTTCTGTTTGTAGAATGATTGAACTTGTGGTATTCTCCCAGTTTGCAAGAAGCTCAAAAAGCAAAAATCTGAAGGAAAAAGATTTTGGCAAGATTCTATTTTCTTCACTATTGATAAGAAGAGGCTCCTTTTACATCCTCGTTAGGTTCTCTAGGTCAATTTTCAAATCAAACTCCTGTCTACCAATATCAGTATTAAATCCAGTTAACTAGTTTTCTGTTACTATCTTCTTCTTTTTTTCCTGTAAGTTACTTTTCTGTTACTATATAATAGCTTTAAGTTATTTTTAAAATGAAAATTGTGTATTTCGAGATAATAGATCAGTATAGCTTGTTTCCACTCCCTGTAGTTTTTTTGTTTGTTTGTTTCCCATTGGCTATCACTCTTTGAGTGCTTCAGTTTGCTCAAGCAATTTGTCTCGGTGGATAGTGTCATTCAAGTTTCTTTATGGCGGTAGTGATCTGGTGATGGTGAACATGGTTTCTATTCAATCTTTACTTCTCTTTCTTGAAGAACGCTCAGCTATTGTGATGGTTCTTGCCTTTGCCTATTTGAAGAGAAACTATAAGTCCTCTTTTTTTTTTTTTTTTAATTGGTAACTACAAGTCCTTTTTTGTGTGACTACTTGTTACATCCTTAGTTTGGTGGGTCTTTATAAGAAGCAAAGGACTTTTTACTGCCTCATTTTTTCAGTTGAGAGGAACCTCAGATAATACAGTTTGGTGGTCATGCATTTCCAGACGCTTTGCTGCTTTTTTTCTTTCATGACAATTAAACTTTCATTCTCTTAACCCTAGGGAGTAGGGAGGTGGATTTGATATTTGAATATGACCATGAAGATGTTATGGGCCCAAAAGATCAGTAACATGGTTTCTAGTTCTTGATGTGTACCTCAGTTACTAGTCTGACTTGAATGAGATCCACTTATCTCAATTTGATGTTGGAAAGCAGATCTCTTCTTACTTTTATGTAATGCCCGACTTGTAGATCATTTTAGGTTGTGTTGAATAAAGGTATTACTATGTTTTATGAGAGTAAACTTTTATTTTATTAGGTATTTTTCTATTTAGTTTTTAATCCTCAGGCTACTGTGAGGTAAGACTTCCTTTGGTCTCATTTGAATGTTACGAATATGTAGACAAGCTAGAGTGGGTGTTTAGGATATAGGTGCTGTATATAGGTCAGTAAAGTCTTCATGCATGAAGATGGCAGTATGCTCTTTGTCTTATATTTTCCTTTTTTCTAGCAGTATCTTCCATCCAATAGTTCTTTTACTGCTCCAAACCATCCTTCAGAGCAATAAATGTTTGGGTTCCTCGTGCATTTTTTTTTTCTAAGTGCCTTGGACATTGCAGAACTCGGATGTAACAGAAGCTATTCAGAAAGTTGCTGCTGCCTATGACTGCAAGATTGTTGAGGGTGTCTTGAGCCATCAAATGAAGCAATTTGTTATTGATGGAAACAAAGTTGTATTGAGTGTGACCAATCCTGAAACAAGAGTAGATGAAGCAGAATTCGAGGAGAATGAGGTTTACTCCATTGATATTGTGACAAGCACTGGTGAAGGAAAGGTATGGACATGTGATGCATGACATCTGATTTTTTTTTATTTTAAAAAGATGATTTTTCATATGAATCTCACAGTTGTTTACTTTCACGGCCTTCTAAAAATTTGCAGCCAAAATTGTTGGATGAGAAACAAACAACTATCTACAAGAGAGCCGTGGACAAGAGCTATAACCTGAAGATGAAAGCTTCAAGGTTTATCTTCAGTGAAATCAGTCAGAAGTTCCCTATCATGCCATTTACCGCAAGGTCCAATGATTTTCCCAATTTCCATTCTGCTGTAGTAATGTAGAAGTTTCATGATCATGATGATGTCTGGTTACACTTATCAAAGAAAATGCTGTTTAGTTACTCTTATTTTACTTGAACAGGGATTTGGAGGAGAAGAGGGCTCGTCTGGGCCTAGTTGAGTGTGTTAACCATGAGCTTCTGCAGCCATATCCTGTTCTACATGAGAAACCTGGTTGGTACTATCTTAGCTGTGTTGTTTTCATGATACATTCCTATGCTGAAGCAGCATCATTTTGTACAGTATTCGAATTTAAGGTAGTGTCCGTCGTTTGTTTTTATCATCGTTGTTGGTTGCTGTGCAGGTGATTTGGTTGCTCACATTAAATTCACAGTGCTGTTAATGCCTAATGGGTCGGATAGGGTTACATCTCATGCTCTCCAGGAGCTGAAGCCTGCAAAGACGATAGAGAATGAACCCGAAATCAAAGCCTGGCTTGCCCTTCCCGTTAAAACCAAGAAGAAAGGCGGTGGGAAGAAAAAGAAAGGTAATTCAAAATGCGTTTGCAAAATACTGTAATGGAATTTCAATGTCTCTTAAGTTGTGAAACAAGCATATTATTGAAATTGTAGAACAATATTTTAGCAGTCTAACCAGTAATTTTTTCAATTCTGATGATGCCTTACCTTGCATGAGCAGGGAAAAAAGGTGACAAGACAGAAGACTCATCTCCAGCAGAGCCAACGGAAGGATAGTGAAATGGCTCCAAATCTTGATAAATATCAATTTTATGGTGCTTGATCGATCAACTTCACTGAAACTATTGGTTCTCTCCGTTGGTCCGCACTTTCAGCTGCCTTTGTTCTTCCTTTGGGGCTTTGCTATACAAGGGACAGATAATTATTGTCCTCTGTACTGTCATGTTAAGCTACTCAGTTTTCCAATGCTATTCAATATGCTCTCATATCTGTCTTAAACCGTCATAAGACTTACTTTTCTCGTCTCAATTTGAAGTTAGATGGCAATTTTGTTTCTGATATTGATAAATATGGTCTGTCTCCACTAAAATCAAACATGAACGGAAGCTATTGTACAGCTGGGGATGAGAACATAGCAGTAAGACAAGTAGCTGTAGGTTCTTATGGGCTCATTTGCAGTCTCACCAAATTGTTTAAGCTAAAATTTAGAAATTTAAACATTGAGTTGGAAGATCGATATTGGTAAGTTGGTCGAATATAAGATGTACTAATTGCAAGAACATTGACCGATAGGCTCCACTCTCCAGTTTCCCTTGCAAACCAAACACCAAGGCTCTGTTTTGACGAGCTAGTGAGTCAGAAATTTCAGTTGAATAGTAAGGGCGAAAGTCTTGCGAGAACGTAAAGGCTGAAGGCAAAATACTGGAAGCTCATACAGAAAGTTGACTCAGAAATCTGTAACTTAGGAGTTACTCCGAAATTCCCAAATCTATTCTTTACTCTTCATTGGCTTCTATTCATTCGAAAGCGGAGTATAAAGATCGGTTTAACAAAATTGATTGCATAAAGTAGATTGAACAATGTATTAAAAGGTGTGGGCATAAGGGATAAGGCGGGGCGTTTTACATATGCCTCAGCGAGGCGTAAGCCCCGAAGCACGCGGTGTAAGCCCCATAGGTATTTAATTATTAATATTTTATAAAATAATATAATTAAAGTAAAAAATTATAAATAGGTAAAATTGAGAAATTTGTGAAAAATATATATAGATATGTTCCATCCCCACAAAAAAAACTAGTCAAAACAATTCATTATACGTTACTTACAAGCACAAGTAACTTGAGTTGAAAAGAATAAAGTTTTCTGTATGGAGGAACAAAAAGGATGACTAACCAGCAATTTGAACTTTGAACTTGCTGATACAAAGGAGAATGGAGCTCTCTTTGTATTTGCAAAAAAAATTGACTATCGTTGCTTTTGGGAGATAGTAGCAGACTAGCGGACAGAATAAATAATTGAAAAAGACCATAAATTAGGCTTCTATCAATAAAAAGGTCTTGACTTTAAGAGCAATTATATGCCGACATTTGAGAATTTGGGTATTATATGAAGGACTTATTCAGCAAATTTTGTTTTAATTTAAAAAAATCTATGGGGCTTACACCTCACAACAAAAACGCACCTCAAACGTCCGGGCTCACGCCCTAAATTGCTGGGCGTACGCCTCTTGAAACTTTTGCCCCACATCATTGCCTCAGGGCATTTTTGATGCGCCTTGCCCCAGGGCTCGCCCCGAAACGCCTTTTAAAATACTGGTTTTAAATGATGTCGTTTTAGTATCTAATATTATATTTTTTTTTCCAAAAAATCTATAATTATTTTCAGCGCAGTCCACTACACTTAAAATTGTTACTTCTTGAGGCCTTACGTCTTGAGTAACATGGTCGTGCTAGGAAGTCAAATCCAACTTCTATTTTTTGGTAGGAAAGATAGTTCATATTATATAAACTTAAAGTAGTACAGCACACCGAGTTAGTTGATGCATAAGAGGCATCAGTTTACAAAAGTCTCCCAGACTAGAGTCATGGGGTGTAGTATCAGACGTAGATAACAAACTACTATTAAGAGACGACAAACTACTATAGGAAGTACTACTATTACACACACTAGTTGAACCAGAGAGCAAAAGGTCAGAAACCCTAGTACTATTCCTAATAAGCCTCCGTTGGTAGATGCCTTGTTGATCCTGGTGGAAGAGTGACTTGACAAAAGGTGGTTGTTGTCCAAAAATTCTGCATTGTTCCTTTAGCTGCAGGGCTCCATATGAGGCTAATCTATCAGCTACACTGTTTTGCTCTCTGTAGATATGTTGTAGGGACGAACTATCCAGCTGTTGAAGCAAGAACCTGCAGTCACTGATTATGTTAGTATATTTCATAGTAGGGGAAGTAAACATACCTAGTATTGTACGAGCGTCCGTTTCAATGACGAGTGGTGTGAGATGTTGGTGTATAGCAATTTTGAGTCCCATGAGTAAAGCAAGCAGTTCAGTTTGAAGTGGCGCACCCTCTTGTACTGTTCCTGCAAAGCCTAAAATCCAATTTCCCTGACTGTTACAGAAAACACCCCCAATGCTATATTTTCCCTTCTCCAGGGAACAAGAGCCATCAATATTTAGTTTAAACGTTTGTTGAGCCGGAGGGTGCATTTGATGTAAAGGGGTGTTGAAAGAGAATTTCTTGTAGAAGATTGTGTTAAGAAATAAAATTCTGCTGCATTTTTGACTATGTGAGATAGGTGTAAAACAACTTTAGAATTTTCAAAAAGACGCTTATTTCTGGCTATCCAGATATACCCTAGAACAAACAGAATTAGTGTTGTGGAGGGTATATTATAAGGAGTATAGGGGGATGATGTGTTTATGAGTTTATGTAACCAACCAAGAGTGTTATGAACTTGTATAGGAGGAAGAAAGGTAGTCATAGGGATTCCAAGGGCAGTCCATAATGGAGATGTATTCGGGCAATCCAAAAATAGACGATGTATTGTTTCAGGCTCCATGTTGCATTGCTTACATAGATCTGATTGAAGAATTCCCAGTCTTTGCAGATATGAAGCTGTGGGCAGTCTATTATGGGAAAATAGCCATAGGAAAAATTTTAATTTTGGTGGAATGTGAAGTTTCCACATCCACCTGTAGGACTGTGAGAGTGGCATATTAATAGGAGTATTCGATAATAAAGCATTGTACATGGATTTAGTGGTAAATATTCCATTTTCATTAAGTGCCCAGTAAAGTTGATCTGGCGTTACTGGTGTGCTAGGCATATATACATTAGTAATATGTGAGTACAACTGAGGGGGTAACTGGAATGGTAAAGTATCTAGATGCCAAGCTTTATCGTGGTAGTAATTTGACACTAGTTGTGTCTCCTCATTTTTTGGCAATGGTCCTTGAATGTAGCTAAGTAGTGTTTTATTATGGGTGATCCAGGGGTCAGTCCAAAACTTGACATGATGCCCCGTTGAGAGATTCCACTTAACACCTACTTGGCAGTAGGGCCATGCCTTGATAATATGTCGCCAAGTATTTGAGCCGTTAACTCTTGCCGAGGAGGGTGGCCTTATGTTAGCATGTAAGAGAACTTGTGCCCACAACTGATGTGGATTATGGAATAATCTCCATGCTAAGCCTGCATGTAAGGCTTTATTTTTAATACGTAGGTTTTGAATACCTAATCCCCCTTGATCAATAGGTTGTGTAACTGTTGACCATTTGACTAGATGAAGCTTTTTCTGTTGGGGAGTAGTTCCCCAAAGAAAATTACGTTGGTACCGATTGAGGTATGTAAGTATATATTCAGGGATTTGAATATACTGCATTAAATGATTAGGAAGATGATTTATGGTGGATTTTATGAGAGTGATTCTGCCTGCTCTTGATAGGAAAGCAGTCTTCCAACCTTGCAGTTTATGTTTGAAATTGTCCAGTAGAAATTGATAATCCCTTTTGCAGGGTCTCTTTGTAAAAATGGGAAAACCTAGATACTTACCAAAAGTTTTTCCTTCATTCATCTGGAAAAGTTGGACTATGACTTGTCTAATAGAAGGTTGATAGTTATTAGAGAAATAGATTTGTGATTTCTCAAAATTTATGGTTTGACCTGATTGTTGGGTAAACTGATTAAGGGTAGTGACAATTGACTGACATGTATTGGCAGTAATTTGTGATGTTAGTATGATATCATCTGCAAAGAGCAAATAAGATATTTGGGGTCCCCTTTTTGATATAGTGAGGGACATCCATTCTCTGTAGTCAACAGCTGTATTGATGCGCCGGGATAGCATTTCTAGGCAGAGTATAAACAAATAAGGTGATAAGGGGTCACCCTGCCTAATACCTCTTGTAGGTGTAAAATACTCAGATGGGCTACCATTTATTAGGATGGAAGTAGAAGTAGTCGTAATGCAGGACATGATAAGCTGTATGATATCCTTTGGGAAATTTAAGGAAACTAGTGTGTTATGAATGAAAGACCATTCTAACTTGTCGAAAGCCTTTCAAGGTCTAGTTTTAGAAGCATATTCAGTTTATGACCTTTCCTTTTCTGAAAACTATGTAGGATTTCTTGAACAATGATAGCATTATCAGCAGCTCTCTTATTTTTCTGAAAGCTAGACTGACTAGGATGTATAAGACGCTCTAAAAAAGGTTTTAATCTATTTACTATAATTTTTGTTACAACTTTATAAATAGTATTACAAAGACTGATAGGTCTATATTGAGACAAGTCCAATTTATTAACCCTAACAATTGCATACAAAAAAAAAAAGACAAGAAAATAGTATAAAGAAAGCACCATGTCTTCCGGTTTGACTTTGATAAGAAAAATAATACCTTTTGAAAAATTTACGGAATTTTGTTACAGTTTATGATGAAGAATATGAAATAGGACTTCTTTTATAGAAGTGTTCGACTCATCATCCTTCTAAATAAATTGATGCAACGAATTTAACTCTTATTGAATTTTAATTTCTCCCGAGTTGACCATTTAGTCTAAGTACCATCGAATGAAGAAAAGTATTTTACACTAAAATAAATCACTACCTAGTGGACATAGTTCAATAGAAAAAGAAAAGAATATCAAGTGCAATAAGAGAATCCGTGATTTTTCCTTTTTAGCTAGGGAAGTACAATAATTTGCACAATTATTGAGATTCATGGTCTAAATCGCAAAGGTATACAATCAAATGAGATTTTTACATTGTAGGTCACTAATAAAAAAGTATTTATATTAATATTACTATTTTTGGTTTATTTCAATAACAACAGATTTTATAACAAATTTAACATATTCAAACAAAATATCATTTTCCTTTAATAGTTCGTAGCTCATGCAACTCTTCCACAAGATTAGAGATTACATGTATTATCTTATTCCTCTTTCTCTCTCATTTATCATGAACTATATCACATCTCTTTCCCATTCAAAACCATAGCAGGCACCCTCGCTCCACAATCACCTTTCCACCATGAACCTACTGCCCATCAACAGCTT